CACACACACACACACACACACCCGAACGTGAACACTCTCCCACCTTGCTCAGACATGTTTCACTAGTTCCCTGTATCACGGAGTCCCCAGTCTGATCTCTGGTTGGGCACAAATCCGTTTGCTCGCTTCTCTAGCTTCCTCTTGCTCCTCTCTCCAGCACAGCCACGTTAAACTAATGGGGTCACTTAGACCCCTTCAAACACTCTCTCCTGACTGGACCCTACTCCTTTCTTTCCCCAGCTCCTACGTGTCTACGAAGTCTCAACTTAGGTGTCACTGCTTCTTGGACACATAAGCTGGTATCTGATTCCCATCAGTGCTACCTCTCATCCCATGGTGAAATAATTTGTGATTCTCTCTACCCTACTGGTTGGTGAACTCCTTAAAGACAGGAGCCATCTTTCCCGTGCCTGACACTGACAGCACAGGATCTGGTATAAAATAGATGGTAAGTGCATGTGATCTTGTTGAATGGCTAGGAGTACTGCATTCAAACATTTCACTTCATTTTCTGAAGAATACAATCCAAAGAAGAAAGTCCGGAGCATAAGCCTTTGTTCTTTAAGAGTTGGGAAAGCTTGAATAATTCTTTCTTATCAGCTGTAGGAAGGAGTTTGATTTTTATCCTGGATGAACTGGAAAGTGAATTAATGAGCATTAGGGGCAAACTCTCCCCACTGAACTTTTAACAAGTAATTACAGCTTCAGGAACAATAGGTTATTGTATACAATAGTCCCCACTTATCTGCAGTTTTGCTCTCCATGGTTTCAGTTTCCCATGGTCAACCATGGTCGGGAAATATTAAATGGGAAATTCCAGAAATAAACAATTCTTAAGTTTTAAAGTGTGCGCCATTCTGAGTATCATGATGAAATCGTGTGCTGTCCAGCTCCGTCCCACCCTGGATATGAATCACCTCCACATTATATATGTTCCCTGCCCATTGGTCTTGTAGAAGCTGTCTGAGTTATAAGATTGATTATCAGAGAGAGAGACAGAGAGACCACAGTCACATAAATCTGATTATAGTATATTGTTGTAATTGTTCTTTTTCATTATCAGCTGTAATTGTTAATCCCTTACTGTGTCAAATTTATAAATTAAGCATTATCATAGGTATGTATGTAGAAGAAAAAACATACTATGTCTAGGGTTTGGTACTATCTGAGCTTTCAGGCATCCATGGGGGTCTTGGGATGAAGTATCCCCCACAGATTAATGGGGACTACTGTATCTTTGTCTTTGTTTGTGAAAACCCGATCAAACAGTGGTTTATAAGAGTACCTTTACAATGTTAAAAAACATGCTGGGTTTTTTTTGTTGTTTTTTTTTCATGTTCAACTCTGTATTCAGATATGATTTAGCTGATGTCTTCTCTGACAGGCGATTTCTTTGAAGTCAGGAGGAACTCCCCAGCTGGATGACCGGGGCAGAAACGGGCTCCAACTGATCATGATATGAATTTGAAGGGAACAATTAAGGCACTATTTCCATTTTGATTCGAATAGTAAGCCTTTTTACTTGCATGCCTTTCAACCTGTCTGCATTCCAGCTGAAACTTCAATGAAGCCTTATGTCAGAGCTCTTAAAAGGCCTTTGAAAAGGAAACATGTGAAATCATAAATGCTTCAGAAATAAAAAAAATGTTTCTCAGCCCATTACATTTTTAACCCCTTGTTTCTGCTCACAGACTTTGTTAAAGGTCAGTAGGACTGTTTCAACAGTCTACGCTTTAGTCTTCCAGGAGAACATACTGTTTCTATTCTAAATATCTGTGGTTAATAAGTGACTGCTGTAGTATATTCTGAGATTATATTTTAACTAAAAACAAAGACTCATTATCAGAAAGAATTAAGCATAAACCACACTGAAACCTAAATTTCAAAGCCTCAAGTTAGAGAATGTGCATGAGAAATTTTAATTTGGGGTTACTTTCCCCATTAGACTAATGACTAACATAACATCTGCATAATGCTTTGTAGTTTATGAGGGAAATTTCTGTAACTTTTCTCCTTTTTCATTGTAATTATTTATTGCCATAGGTAATACTATGATTTCATTCTATAATAAGGAGCCTGAAGTCTGAGAAGGTTAGGTGACTTAAGTAAACCTGCTAAGCTGTCAGTGACTTGCCATGTGAACCTAGGTCCATAATCGTAAACCTCTGTCCCTTGTATTTGATGACACAATGATTCTGCTTCTGTTTTTGTTTGTTTCTTTATAAACAGTTTTTCTAGACCAGTTTACAAGATGGCCTTTGAAAATGCACAAGCTAATACTCTTAAATATACATTTGCATGTTTCCCATTACAGTAGTATAGAAATATGTTGTTTCCCTATGAAATTCTCCCTAAGAAGTTACATTTTTTATTTTGTAAAAAAGCTAGAGTTCCCTCTGTCTAAAGGATATTTCCTTCAAGTACTCATTGGCATTTTTTTCTCTTTGTACTTTTTTCCCCCTTTCTCATTGGCATTTTTGAATTTTTGGTTCATTTCATCTTTTTATGACTCTAGAAATTAAATGATTCTTGGCTGTACATCAAAAGATTATCATGTAGTTATTATTTATTTTTATAGCTCAGATGAATCTGGTACTAGCTCATTATAGTGCATGTCCCACTGGCCAAATGAATATAATCTGGAAATATGACATGCATTTTTAATAATAGTAAGGCAATAACTATGCATTTTGCATAGGTGTACCAGGGGATACTTAAGTGAGCTTTAATGTCAATTAAGTAATACTGAAATCCTAGCATAGTCATGTTTATCTGTCCTTTTACTGAAGCCAGGTATAAACAACCACTTTAGAAGTGGATTTACTAAGCATTATCTTGATGTATCATTTTTCTTAACTATACATATTATCATACAGTAAAAATGAGCAGCATAAACTTTTCCTGTTTTTAGAGTGATCAGCATTCTGAAGTATTGATATAGACACAGATGCACATCATTAAATGTTTTACTTATGGCTTTGGGCCCAAGTGTCATTATCTGAAAGTATTTAGAATGCGTAACTAAAAGCCATAGCAAATTTCCAAATCCCATTTTAGAGAATGATTACTGTTATCTATCACCAAATTGCTGGCAAGTCATGGCATTGCCTCGGTGGATTTTTTATCCCTTTTCACACTCCTGGCCCTGGCCCTTCCTCAGGTGTATTCCATAAGGCATTAAGTAGAATTGAAGGACCAGGAGGCCTGGAGGCCCAGAATACTCCAGCTCTGTGACTTTAAGAATCAGCGCGAGAAAGAGCATTGGCACAATATGGAGAACCAGCTTAAACATTTGGAATCTGTATGGACTGGGCCATGTGAAGATTACTACCCAGTATTAATAATATTCCAAAAGATGTGTTGTGTGTTATCTACGGTAGTGTTTTTAATACACATAGAACTTCTGTTCTACTGTACGCCACCTGCTGTGAGAGACTGGATTGGTCACCCAAAGCTGCAATAACAAAGTACCGCAAACCAGGTATCTTAAATAACAGACATTTATTCTCTCACAGTTCTGGAGGCTAGAAGCCCAAAATTAAGATATTGGCAGGGCCAGGCTCTGTCTGAAGGTTCTAGGGGAGGAATTTTTCTTTGCTTCTGGAGGCTGCCTGCACTCCTTGGCATTCCCTGGTTTTCAGATGCGTCGTTCCAGTCCCTCTCTCTCTATCCTCACATGGCCTCTTCCCCTGTGTGCCTGTGTCCAAATTTCCCCCTTCTTATGAGCACACAGTCATTGGATTAGGACCCACCCTAATCCTGGACGACTTCACCTAAATTTGATTGCATCTACAAAGACTCTATCTCTAAATAAGGTCAGATTCACAAGTTCTAGGATTTAGGACTTTACGTATCTTTTTGGAAGACACAGTTCAACCCATACCAGAGACCATGTATTTTCAAACTCAGTGACTTTGGAAATTAGGTTCAAAATATAGTTGTGTATTTTTAGTAGTAGTGTGAAATATATTTTTATTATCTATTGTGTATAACAAATTACCCCAAAACTTAGTGTCTTAAACCAGCAGCCATTTTATTATATCTTAGGATCTTGTGGGTCGAAACTTGGGCAGGATTTGGCTGGCCAATTCTTCTCCGTGTGGTATCTGTGATGCTATCCAACTAGTGGCTCTGCTGGAGGGTCAATGGTGGCTTCATTCACAGCCAGAAGACTGTGGATTCAGAACCTTTTCACGTGCTCTCTTAAACGGACTAATTGGAAGTCTAATGTGGCAGTTCAGGGCTCCAAGAGTAAGTAACCCAGAAGTTAGGAACTAGAAACTTTTCATCTCTTAAGGGCCTGGGCCTTTAGCCTGGGCTCAAAACCTGACACAGGCTAGCTTCCACCTGGTTCTGTTTTCAGTATAGTCCCAGAGCCCCCGTAGATGTAAGGGCAGATGGCTGACTCTCTATTGTCCACCTTTTGGCCACAGATTATTTACATTCCTTCCACATTCAGAAATCTCCCCTTACACTGTCTTCAATTGAAAAAGGAGATGATGTAAATCAAGGCCATGTACAAGTGAGGTTCCTCTCAATCTAATGACCTGTGAACTATTGGGAGAATTTACCTGCTCTCCTCGCAACATTTAATGGTCAGATTGGCACAGGATAACCATAAGCCCTCCTCTTAAAAATGAGAAAATTTTGGTGGCTTACTGTTCCACACTATTTCTGAAATGTAGCCGATACAGGTCAACAGTTCCCTGCAGTGGTTCTTGGATATGGCCTGAGTCATCCCTCCTTTCCCTAAAAAGCTTTATATGGCTCCTGTGTAGCAAATGATAACCCAGTCCACAAAAGCCACACACACATTTGTTTCTGTCATAGTCTTTTTTCTCCTTTGGGCTGAGATTTGGGGTATTCTGGGAAAATTATTCCCAGGTTCCAATAAAAAACACCTTTTTTGTCTCATTGAAAGGGCTTACTTACCAAGCATATCTCAAGGATTTACAGGGGCCTCTATTCTGGCAAAAAGGGTCTGAGATGCACAATCTTTAGGTTTAGAAGCCCTATTAGGCTTACCCTCAGGTCTTTTTAAGGTCTTTCTAAGGTCTCAGCAAAGGAACAACCTTGAGATTATTTACCCCATGGCCAGTTTTACAGGGAGTAGCCCAGATTTAACCTTTGTCCTGAGGCCATTTCTCACTTTGTGAGTCTATTGGAAGGAGAGACTGGGGTGAGAAAGTTTTATTTTGATTCCCACCCGCCATGGCTCCTTTGTATTTCCTGTAAATCCTGCTCACCAACTCAACAGTTTTTTCTTTAGTTCAGCCCTCTTCTTCTATTTTACCCTGGGCAGCCGAAGCCAGCTGGTGCTTTCTCTGTTCTGCCTGTTAATCTTTTTCTGCCAGATCCACAAATTCATTAGCTTCCATTTTCATTTTCTTCACTAGCGCAGGGAATACTAATGTCAAACTTCTTGCCAGCCTCCAATGACGTGTTCCCACTGTCCCCCAAGGCTTGGCCAACAGTCTTCAAGGCTCTTGCTGCTTCTGCTAACAGCCTCTTTCAAGTCTTTCTTTCCACTATCTGTCTCCATGAGGTCCTTTCAGCTTCTGTAAAGTGCCTGATTCCAAAGCCATCGACACATGTCACAGGATGTATACAGCACTGCCATGCTTCCAGATAATGAATTATGTTCCAGCTTCCTGCTGTTGCATAAATATCTACCCTAAAACAAGTGGCTTAGAACAATTACCATTTTATTATTATACTTTGTGATTTTTATAGATTAGAAATAGAGGCCCAATTCAGATGAGAGGCTCTTCTGGTCTATGTGGTGCCATCTGCAGTCATAGGGAAGTATGTGGGATGATCTACAACAGAGGTAAAAAACTTTCGTTGTGAAGGGCCAAATAGTAAATACTTTAGGCTTTGTGGGACCTAGTGTCTCTCACAGCTGCGCAGCCCTGCTGCTGTAACGTGAAAGTAGCTACCAACAATATGTAAATAAATGACTGCGGTTGGGTTCTAGCAAAATTTTATTCACAAAATCAGGTGGCTGATACATGGGCCAAAACAGTTTGCCAGCATTGGTTTTTAAGACCCAAGAAGGCTTCACACACATGCCTTTGACTCTTAAGAAGACGACTAGCAGGGTGGGCTCAGCAGTGCTTCTTTCCCTCTCCAGCTGGTCTCAAGACCTTTCTCCATGGCTTCTCCAGCAAGCTACCCAGCTTCTTACATGGAAGCTCAGGGGTCAAGAATAAGTGTCCCAAGAGACAGGAAGCCGAAGCTGCCAGCTTCGTAAGGGTTAGGCCCGGAAGCACACACCACATCATAATCTCTGTGATTTTCATTGGTCAGTACAATCATAGACCTCCCCTTCCAGATGGAAAGAAAAAGGACATCGCCCTTATACTGGACATTCTTAGTGGAAATGGTGTTTGATAACTTGTGGCCATCTTTAATCCAACATACTGCATGACCTTCACTCATTTCTTTTTCTTTTTTATTTTTTTATTTATTTTATTTTATTGGGGAACAGCCATGGTCATTGGTTACACATTGCTTTCATGCTACAATGGCATAGTTGACTCTTTTAAGGAGGGCACAGCTCACAGTGGCCCATGCGGGGATTGAACTGGCAACCTAGATGCTATCAGCACCACGCTCTAACCAACTGAGCTATCCGGTCACCCCAATTCATTTCTTGATGAATAAGACATTTTCTTTCCCTCCAGGGGCTTACCTTATAGTTCTAAACAGATATGAAAGCAATTATCTAAAATACAAGGCA